TTTGCGTTTCATTGATGGGCAAGTATAAATCATTAAAGGACAGTCATGTCATTTTGCTAGAAACATGGAAGGTAAAATAGTCACATAGATAAAATGTACTCCTACCCTACACCTGCTCAGATAATCCTGCATTTGGTCAATTATATTACGAAAATATTGACAAATCTCTCAAAATTTAATAGAATTGGGATTAAAAGCGCTCCCGACAGAGGTTAAAAGTATAATCTGAGAAGCTACTCTTTTACGGCTTCTCAAAATTTTCAATAATTAATTTTTCTTAAGTTTACCAAACATCAAAATTAACTTTTAATTTATTGAACTCTAAAATTAATCTCAACCCGCTCTAAACCGCATACTTGATCCACAATCTTTTCTGAAGTCAAACCCCTACAAATTGGAGCAATCTTGGGCTCCAGTTCAGCCCACATTTCAACTTGGGCTTCACATTGTGGGTTAAACTCTACCAGCTGCACTTTTATGAACTGACAAAATTGATTGTAGTTTGATCAAAGTTTGTAGCCCAAATTGGTCGGTTGTGTTAGTTGATACGTTTATTCAGCATTGTCTTACCCTACAAAGAAATTATGTGCTCCTTTAAAATTAATTTTTTATTTATAATATAAAAAACTTATGTTCAAACCTACAAGTTCGACCGGAGTTGGCTCTCAAAAACTTAGTCGTTTAATCGTTCTTATCACCTCGCTCAATCCTGCAAGCTGCTTCCATTCTCATTTCTCATTCATAATTTTGAAATTGATTAATCTCATTGGCAACGGTGACAAATTACTATTAACTCTCTCGATGAAGGCTCAAAACTAAACTTTTGAAGTGATTTTTAGCTTTATTTAAAATTTAATTGTCGACCATTCGCATATAATTTTTACATTATGTATAATTTTCCTCGAGTAAACAGTGGTGGCTAGGGTTTGGCAGATATTTGTGAGAACCCTCAATATCGAACCAAAATTGATTGATTCAGTCATGTTCTACTCATTCTAATTGATTTTGGGTGTTAAAATTGAAAACCGATCTATTCTGTCCGATACGATTTTTGGTTCTAATACTAAGAACCAAACCCGATTTAACTCTAAAAAAAAATATTTTTATTTCGAACGAAGGCTGGTGCAATGCACCAACCATTTTAGATTATCTTCTTAGCATCAAAGTAGTGGCCGGCTCATATTCAATTCATCGTGGTATTAATAAATAGATTTGCATTAAATTTAATATATATAATTTTGGATTAATAATAGACTTGTACAATGTATTCCTTCCATCCCTTTCAGGTTAGCATTTTCAGTCTTCAAATTATAATGAAATAGAAGTGAGATTGTGACATATTTTTCAAGAACTTGTTCCAAGCCAATCTACTTCTTGTTAACCAATTGATATAAATTATTGCATTTAGTTAAACTTAAAAAACAAATGATTCCATTTTTAAAATTTCCAGTGATACTGGGTTCGGTTCAGTACGAAACAAAATGGACCGTAATCATCCCTAGTGGTGGTGGTGGCTAAGGCTGATTTGAACTTTGAAGCCAGCCATCCTCGAACTTTTTCATGATTTTTCGCAAACTTTCCTTTTTATTTAGTCGCTGTTTAGTTTAGATAAAATAGTTGATAAAAATTTAAGATAAAATCAATAATTAATTTTAATCACACATTTTATGAAATCAACAATTATTTTCAATTTTTCAATCAAATATTTTATCAATTTTCTCGAAATCTATTTAAAAACTAAATTTTAACAAAAAAAGGGGGATTTAATTGTTTCCATACAAAATCCAATTTAGCTTTTGCTTTCTCTCTTCTTAAATTTTCAACTATACATGTTTAATCATTAATATTCATTACACATCACGTCTCCTATTTGTTTGTCATGACGGTGGTGGTGGAGATGATATTCTTCTTTGTTTTGTAATTTTCTTTTTCTTTTTTTTTTTCCTTTCTTTTATTTTAAGTTAAAGGCGTGATGGACATTTGGAACCGTTTGTCAATACGGACCCCACAAGCCCATGAATCATTACGGCATCTTCAATAATTTTTTTATTTTATTGTAAAAATTTTAAAAAGCAATAACAATAAACAGAATGAGGAAAAATCCGAATTCTTAACTTTAGCCCATGTTTGATTCAAATTATTTTTTTAATTCCTCTACTCATTTTCAACCACATATTTTTCAATAAAATAATATTTTCCATCACATCGATAACTTTTCCTTTTTTTTAACAATATATTCCCCGTCATATCAACAAAAAAATGTATTCTTAGAGCAAAAATGTGAACCAAATAGGAGCTTAATCGTAGTTCAAGCAAAAAAATAAAATAAAATTGATTTGAAGAGTATAAAGTTGATACCAATCATTGTATAGCCCCTGTTTGGTACGAATCAAAATTCAGATTTTAATCAAAGTTAAAGTTAACAATTAATCTTAACAACATATTTTATCAAAATCTATTAAAAAACTGATTATTTTCCACAAAATGAGGTCATAATATCAAGTGCAAAATTGGAAATTGGAAGAAAAAACACTCATTTTAAATAACAAAACCACAAACTGTCCAGTTTTTAAACGAGAAAAAGCAATTACAGCAACTAGAAGAAAAATTGCAAAATAAACCCGACCTGTCGGATTCGAACCAACGACCTGAGAGAGAGAGAGAGAGAGAGAGAGAGAGAGGAATATTAACGATCAATTATGCTGCTTGTACAAATGTGATTTACAAAAGTGTGTTGACGAAATGATGTGGCAATAGGTCATTGATTTCAAAAACTGTGTTTTAAATCATTGGTCAAGATGTATTTTGTAAACCAATTTTGTAACCTAACTTGGTACAAGTAGCATGACTCATTAACGATACCTACTTGTTAGAAGTATTGGATTATTTTTTTATTTTGCACAATTATTTAAATTTTAAGTGGAGGAGATGGACTCTCCTATATCATTGACTGCACAATAATTTGGATATCACGTTAATCACCACATCTTATTTCAATTTCTTTTCATTATTATGATAATAAAAGACCATTTGGTGTAGACCTTTATATTTTTCTTATAACAAAAGATTCCATCATAATAATTTTGTTACTTTTTCTTATTAAAGTTTTCGTCTTTTGTGAATTAAAATAATATAGAAAAAATTGTGTAGACGAAATTAAATTTGGAGCCATCTCAATGTGATTGATTGCATGAGGGTTACGTTAAAACAATAGATGTAACATCTCAATCTCGACATGATATGGTATCAACCAGCCATTGTGTCACGGTCCATTGTATTTTTAAACATTTATATTGAATTAAATAAAAATGTTCAAGAAAACTCATTTTTTGTTCCATGCAATAAGTCTCCACTTTTTTCTCACTTCAATCTCTCAAGAAAAAAAATTAAAAACTTCCATGTAAATTGATAAGTAGGTAACATGTATCCGTGAGTATTTTAATTACTTGGGTCCCTTGTTAACATGGTCGATGGTCAGATTTTTTTTTTTACATATTTAATGAATTGACGTAATTTTTCTACCACGTGTACGTTCTTGTTGTAGTATAAAATAATGGAGAATCAAAGTAATAGATTAATCAA